GTTCACAGCATGGAATTCACAGCTCGGGTGCTGTGTCTCAAGGCTGAGTGACACTGCCCCATCCCCCGCTCCAAGTCCACTACACCGTTACCATGAGTTGCTCTGTTCTCTGGGTGGTGTGTGGGTTTTACAATGGCCTTTTGCGTCTGCCTGGCTGGTCTAGCTTGGCACAACATCTTCCGTGTTGTAGTACGAGAGGGTTTCACTTTTAATGTTAAAATTCATAATTATCACGCATGTTTGCATGATGCTGAGGGGGGAACATTGTGTGCACATGAGACCCAGGACAAGTGAGCGAGTGGTCTTGGGTTTCCCCTGCCTTTACGTGGGTTCTGGGGTGATGCTCAACTTGCCAGGCATATAGTGCCTTTACCTGCTGAGCTACCATAGAAGCCCTATCCTTTTTGTGAAGCTGACTGATGCCCTGTCGTCTGTATGTAGCACGCTTTATTACCCCAGGCACCTGTGGACGACACAGGTGAGCAGGCCCCACCCAAATGTCCACCTTACTTTCTTTGGGTTAAGTATTCACAGGTGGATTCTGGGTGTGTTAAGTTACCATGCTGCTTCTAAGACATGTGCACTCAAAAGTTCACTCAGCAAAGGGCCAGGTGGATTCGGGATGTAGCAACTGTTACCATGCTGCTTCTAAGACGTGTGCACTCAACTTGGCCACTTGTAGTCCACAAAGGCAGTGGCCATCTGCACTCCCTGCCTGCCAGAGTCTCCCACAGGCCTCCAGCACACTGTGGAGATATAAATATACTTGCTTGCATTTTTTGACATTATGGTGAGTACCCTTTCCAGTGTCTCTAAAATCCTTTTATATTTTCGCTAGTGTGCTCTGTGTTCTGTGCTTTCCCAGAAGTCTCTTGGTTTGGTGACTATTTATTACTTATTTGTCTAAGAAGTTTCAAATTTAGAAGTGATATATTTTTTTTTCTTTTGCTTGCTTTTGGTTTTTGAGACACTGTTCATATAGGCCTAGCTATTCTGGAACTAACTAACTCTGTAGACCAGGCTGGCTTCGAACTTGGAGATGCACCGGACTGCTGGGACCGCCTCACCGCCAGGCTAGAGAAGTGATTTTTGGTCACATGTGGCATGTGATTTTCCAGGCTTTTTTTTGTTTTATTTACATGGACAGCCAGTTTTATCAGTCTTCTGTGGCTTTCGGTTTTTTCTGTGTCATCTGTAGAGAGGGTGCCCTTCGGCCTTCTCAGCTCAGGTACAGCTGAGGGAGACACAGCAAGGGTTGCTTATAGTTCTGTAAGTGACATGGCTGGAGCCCTGGGCGACTTCCCACGTCCCTTCCTCTTCCTCTCACACAACTGGAGAGACCCTTAGAGCTCTAACCTGTACAGCGGGGACCCAGCACACTGCAGAGGCCCTTCAGCCAGCAGGCAGGAGGTTCTGGGGATTCCATTGGGCCAAATGAACATTAAGGGCCCCAGGCCAAAGGACAGGCACTATGGGAGGCCAGGTACTGTAGATAGGGTTTGTGCAAAAGCCTGAAAACCAGTCCATATACCACAAGTTCTAAGAAAAAGTCCAGAAATTGCCAACTCTGAGCAGAGAAGTGTCCTGCCTGAATGGGAACTGACCCTACATGCTAATCTGTTTGAACAACTTGATCCCCACCTTTGTGACAGAGGGAGGCAGGGCATTTGGAGCAAGGCCACCAGGGCAGGTCCTGCCTGTACCCTGCTTCCTGGCACCCTGCGAGAGGTTCCCACCACAACCCAAAGCTGTTGTAGCCAGCATCCCTAACCTACAGTGAGGGAGGGACAAGTCCCTCTGAACTGCCAGCCAAGGACATCTCCTTCCCTGAGGTTGCTTCTGCTCCTGAGTTTGTCCCAGAGATGTTAGGAAATTTACCAGACCCAGGAAATAATTTACTGTGTGTTTTACCAGTTTCAGGAATGCATCGCTATCCCGCCAGTGCCCATTTTTCTTTGCCTCATAGCAAAGATGCCTAGGGCCTTCCCATCCAGTGAGTGCGGACTGTGGGGGAAGATGCTGGCCTGCTTTCCTTAGTGGAGTCCCCAGAACCACCTGCCTGCTGGCTGAAGGGCTTCGGGGGTGTGCTGAGTCCCAGCTGTACAGGAGATGAGGGTACGTACACCATGACAGCGAGTGACGAGAGACAGAATCAACCAGATTCCCTGGAGGGAACACGGGACAGTGCAAGACAGAACGGTGGCCCTGGGACTAGGACTGTGGAGTGTGTGCGCCAGCGGTAGAAGTGTTCAGGTCTGGTCTAGAGCATGATGTGGCTGCCTGCAAGGAGAGGGCATGAGCAAAGGCAGGGCAGCGATAGATAGGAGGAATGACGGTGAGTAGGGAGGAGACCCCATGTGTCACCAGCCGTGTGGACATGTTGGCCCAGTATACAGTGAGACCCATTTGTGGATGAAGGCATGAAGCTTGAGAAGTGGCTGGCAGTGGGAGCCACAGGAGGGCACTGGCTACCGTGGCAGGCAGTTCCCTCATCCTCAATGTTTTTAACCCATTCGCTTGCTCACCAAGAACCTGCCTTCCATGAATGGGGCATGTGGGTTCAGGGCAGTATGTGGAATACTTCATTGCCCTTATACCTTGATTCCAGAACCTTCCCAGCCATTCTTGGAAGTTCATTCTTGCACACATTTTCTGGACTCAGGTTGTGTAATTCTACTAACATCTACTGAACCTAATTTCTGTAGGACATCGTTCAGGATGTGCCACCTGCTCATAGCTGTGGTCCTCTGCCGGGTGTGGTATTTGGAATGCCTGGACATGTTGGTTCATGTCTAGCACAGCCCTACAGCAAATTATGGCAACCCACATTGGTTATACCTCATTTGAGAAGGAATTCTGGCCAACATCCCGTCTACCCATCCTTCTGGCTGTTGGGCTGTTTCCTGGGTCTGGGATAGCCATGGGAGCCTCCCTCGATGTAGATCTTTTCTGTGTATTTTAGGCCACAGCTATGGGGTCAGCTCAGGACCCACCTTCCTGTCACAAGTGTGGAGGCCAGAGCTGTCTGAAAGAACCAGGAACAAGGTCCTTGTCCTTGCCAGGGCCACCTGCAGAGGGCCAAAGCTAGAGCTGCCACACAGCTCTGCGGGTTGGTAGGGGCAGGTACACCCACACCCATGCTCTGTTGACTATGTTGCTTGCAAAGGAGAGTCCTGGTGGACCCCTGTAGACTCATTTCTGCAGACCAGTACAGTGCTTTCAGTATCACAGCACACATTTCCCACCCAAATGCAGAGTGTGTGAGGTATGTGCCCAAAAGAGTTAGAGGAACATGGCTCAGGAGGAATGCTCCTCTGGCCTGGGGTTGGAACAAATGTGGGTCTGGTTTTTTGGAGTGTATTTAGTCTTAACATTGGAGGGGGCTGTGAATGGCTTTGTGGTGATTCATAAAGACTGGATGTTAACACTGGCTATCCAGGTAGGGGCAGTGCCACATTCAGGTTGGAATGCTCGGGAGGGAAAGAGGGGGAAGCATCTGCCCAGTTCTCACGTTTCCGACCACACTTGTCCTGGGTTCCCTACCACTAGAAGGTGCCTTGCCAACCACTCAGCATCTCTGGGTCTGTGTCATGGGACTTGTTCCTCAGGCCCCTGTAGACCTGGCTTGCTCTATCCCTGGATACCAGACCGTTAGGTGGATGTAGTTGAGAACCTAAACACCGTTACAAAGAGCTGGCTGCCTGGGCCTCAGATGAGACTCCTTGTCTGTGGTCAAATGTCTGGGTATGCCACATCAGGTGACCGAGCACCCAGGAAGCTGACTCACGGTGCTTGGCACACTTTGCCCAGCCTGATCCGTCTGGGTGAAGTGAGTCATAGGGGAGCAGAGTGGACATGACTCTATCTTTCCTCGCTACTGAGGGACTGAGTGTGTGCTGTGTGCTCTTCTTACTGAGAATGGAAAGTAACTCAGCAACAGTCTGAGTTTAGTGTGGTTATAGTCAACTTTGGCTTACAGGAAACATGAAACACAACTCTGAGTACACACACATCTATCTGCCTTCCAGTTATTTTTCTTTCTCTGGTGATAGACTCCTAGCTTGCCCTGAAGATAAGCCACGACTGCTCTTTTCCAAGCCAGGCCTGAGGTTCGTAAGACCTGAAGCTACCCCAGGTAGGAGGGGGAAGTTTTCTGCTCTTGGGGAGATAAGTACATTTTTTTAAAATTTAGAATTAAAAAGGTAGAAAGTACAGCCCCACCTTCCTGTGAACAGCTTGGCAATACAGTGGGCCCACCGGCAGGTGGGTAAAAGATGGGGATTGCACAAGCACGTGCTGGTCAGTGTTTTCCTGGCTGCACAAATGCAAGAGAAAAGGCAGAGCGTCCTTCACAGAGCCTCTACGTAGTCACTATGACTGCAGCCATTCCCAGGTGGGATGTTCTGAGCACTGAAGCTGGCCAGCACGTGGGGTGGTGAGGGTTCTTAGCAAGTCTACAGGACTGCAGCGTGGTGGGCTCTGCTCACACAGTGCCTGCTTATGTACATTGTCGCTAGAGAACAGGACAGATACACGGAGTGTTCCCATCTACATACAGCAAGTGGAGAAGAGAGACATTAATTTTCAGTTCCCAAATCCTCTGTTTTACTGGACATGGGCCATCCAAGAAGCAGTTTTATTTATTTATTTATTTATTTATGTATTTTGCCTTCTCGGAGCTTGGGGGGAGGAAAAGTACTGACCCTTCTCTTGCCACCCCTGTTTCCTCGGCTACAGTGGATGCACCATAGCATTTCTGCACTGAGGAGCAAAGGAGGCAGGTGCCATCCGTGTGGTGCAGTCTCCGGCTACAGGGCATCTCCCCCATCGCTGGCAGCGTCGTCAGAGGGCAGGATAAAGGGAGTCAGTACTCAGCCCATGCCAGCTGCCACCATGCAAGGCTGTGTGGATATGAGGGTTCGCCCAAGACTGGAACTTAACTGGTGAGCTGGGCGTCTGCCCTACATAACTCTGATGGACCTCCTTGGCACCCGACACAGGCCCTCACACTTCCTGTGCCGCCTGCTAGACCTGAGCTCCAAGCTCCTGCAGGAGCGCTCTGGCCAGTTTCCTTGAGGCTTCGGAACAAAGATGCTCCGATCTGTACAAAGTCTGGTCAAGAAAGCCAACAATCTCATGGGTTAGAGCGTCCGTGTGGGCCATCTGCAAAGAGGAAGGAAGGAAAGATGAAGAGAGAGACCCCTCCCTCTGCCCAGCTTCCACTCACCGTGAGGCTGCGGGCAGGGGGGGAGCGGGTTCCTTTCTGCTTTTTTCACAAGGTGATTATCAAGCCATGTCTGTCCCCAGGAGCCCCTCCCTCTACAGGGGACCACTTCCTGATGACCAAGCTCCACACTGGGATTATGTGCTGTGACTGGGATTATGTGCTGTGAGGAGCAGGCAGCACCTTCCACACAGGCAGCCGGAAGGTGACATTCCTGGGCCGCCCACCTACAGAGCAGCGGCAGAGGGAGTGGTCATTTAACGCTAACGGCCTTGCTCACTGACAGTATCATCTTCCCCAGGACATGATCTGTGCAGGACGTTGACTAGGTTCCTTTTAGGTGCTGTGTGTCAGGCATACACAGAGCCTGCAGGGTTAGCTTCAGCCCAGCTTCCTCTTCTTGTCTCATCAACCTTTCTCCAGGGTGAACAGCCACCCTAGGGTTGCCCTCACAGGCCCAGAGCCCGACCCTCCTTCCTGGTCCTACTCTGGCCACCAGTAAAGTAAGGACAGCTAGGGAGAGCGGCAATCTCAGTATCTGCACTGCCAGGTTGAGACTCAAAAGTCACCGACATTTGGTGCTGCGGTGACCTTAATTGTAGGCTGTTCTTTTCAGTGCATCCCTCCCTAGGTGTCTTAAAGATGTGACATAGGTCTAACCTGCCTCCCACTCAGGCAGGCAGGCAGTCGTTGCAGTCTAAGCGCACATCTTTCCTAGGCATGGAGTCACACAGGAACGAGCCCGCTGCAGTCTGGACAGGGGGTCAAGCACAGGAAGTGCAGCAACCTGAGAGCCGGTCTCTCCATCTCAGACTGATGCGGGAGAGAACTGCAGTGGAAGACGAGAGGAGGTAACGAGAATGCACCGAGGGCGGGCAGGGTGGAGAAGGCTCAGAACACAAACCGCTGCTGTAAGCACACTCATCCTAGCGCCAGTCAGAGAGGAAGCATGTGGCATCCCGGGGCAGAGACATAAGAAGAAGCCAGAGCAGAGGGCCACTGATGTCTGTGGCCACTCAGAAGGCGGAAGCCAGAAAGGGAAGCCCATGAGAGAACCGGGAGCCTCTCCCCAGGCTGCGGTTGGGGAGCTGTGCCTGCAGGGACAGTGGTAAAGTGGAAGGGCCGGGCTACTGCTTGCTCCAGTTCCCGCCTGCGGCCTTTAGCCCAGCTCTCCAAAGCTAGCACTGAGGCCCAGGGCAGACAACATGCCTGAAGGCCGCTCTATGCCAGCCCTCTGAGTTTACATTCAATCTGCCCCAAGGACAGGGCCCTCAGGTGGTGACACACCCACAGCGCTCTTACAGACATGCCTTTTGCTGTAGGTAGGTGACTCCTGCCATGGACTGGGGTAGGGGCCAGAAGCCCAGCGCCAAGCCTCCTGTAAAGGCAGGCTGTACGATACTGCAGTTGGACTGACTGTTTCTGTGGCTGCTCTGCCGGGTGCAGCTGAGCAGAGAGCGGGATCGGGCCCCATCAGTGGTTAGTGCTGTAGCGGGACTCCCCTCGCAGACGTCTGCCCATGAGGAGTGGGCAGCGTGACCTGGGCCCCTGTAGTCAGTGAGGATGACAGGACCGAGGAAGAACGGGGGTCATGTGGCCTTGGAAGGTCAGCCTCGCCACTTCCCTCATTCAGAAGCAGCCATTGTCACAGTTGGAAGAGCTCCTGTCTGTCCATGCTGTGTCCCTGTGACTCAGTGAGGCCCACATCTTCCCAGTCCTGTGCTCTCCAGAATCTCATCCAGGACACAGCGTACAATCCTGCCTCCTCTCGCTCTTGGCTCTGAAGGTTCCAGAGTCTTGTTCTGGCCACCTTGGAGAGGACTAGAAGTTGTGTGCAATGTCCCTTACCTGGGGTGTGTCTAACGTTTCTCCTCTGATGACACCTGGACTATCATTTTGCTATTGTTCTGTGTGTGGCAGTTGATGGTTAATGGGATATAAGCAAGCCGGTGAGGAGTTGCGTACACTAAGTTTAACTGAGTGGGAAAGGCCCGTTCTAAACACGAGTGGTGCCATTCCACAGGCCGAGGCCCTAGACTGAATAAGAAGGTTGGCCTAGGCGAGTACAGGCATTCCGGGCAGCCTGCGTGCCAGCTCCTGCTCCTGTGACTGAGACAGAATAAAGTGCCTCCCCAGTTGCTCTCTATTGCATCAACAAGAGAAGGAATCCAGGAGACCACGCCAAGTGTCCCTCTCACCACGTGACACAGGTGAGCATGCACGCCTGACTTCCCCAGCCGGTGAGCTGCCACAGCCACTGCCTCAGGCCTGCCAGGGAGTTAGTTGGCTGGTGATCGCAGGCCACACGCATCCTCAGGCTTCCAGTGGACTGCATCCGCCCTGTGTCCTCTGGTGACAACTCTGCTGTGTCCACGTTGTGAGTGGATTCCCAGTCAATCCGATTAACACGCCATCACTGAACACTTAAGCTGTAGCTGGGAAACTAATCATTAAGTCAAGACCTACTCGTAACTGCAATACTGGACCTTTGCGCAGCATGCCGCCGGCCCACCGTGCGAGATGAAGTGTGATGGGCTGACACCTGTCTTTGGTTGACTCTCCCCGTGTTCACATCCAGACAGAGACCCAGGCGGAAAGGGAAAAGCCCTTTTTTGATTGGGTTGCTGGCTGCATGAATTCTATTTATTTTGTTTATAAAACTTCATCAATATGTTAACAATTTTTAAAAACTGAAAATAAAACTCCTGTTGTGTTTCACCTTTGGTTTTTTTTTTTTTTTTTTTTTTTTTTTTTTTTTTTTTTTGAGATGGTATCTTATGTAGCTCAGGCTGGCCCCCAACTCACTGTGTGGCTGAGGATGACCCTGAACTCCTGATCCTCCTGCCTCTGCCTCGCATATGCTGGGACTCCAGGCCTGCACTCCTATGTTCACAACGTTGTACTACCTCACCCCTGCACGGGTCAGACACCAGCTCCCCAGCCCTGTGAAGCCTCCGCCCCACCCTGCCCCGGCCCAGGATCAGACTCAGGCAGGAGGACCCCGGTATGAGTTTTCTGTGCAACTGGTTGATTTCACACAGCACAGAGCCTTCAGGGTCCATCCGTGGTGTACCAGGTGGCAGAAACGCCTTCCCTTCCAAGGCCAAAGGATACTACATGGCATGTCTGCACGGGCACCTACGTTTATCCAGTCGTGCATTCCTGCTTACTGCTGTCCGCAGCTGGAAACCGTCACACAGACACCTGTTTACGCCTCTGACAGCAGTTCTCGGGGACAGACCTGGGACAGGATCACCTTCCTTACACTTTCCTTACAGTGGTTGCATGACTGCCTGAAGATGCCACTCTGCTTCTCAGTGTCGCTTTCCGTGTTCTGCGGTGGCCAGCTCCAGGAGTGAGTGGTGACTGCCCTGCCGTGGGCACGCAGCTCACAGGTGCCTCTGAGCACTCACACATCTTCCTTGGAGAAGAGTCTGTCCCGTTCCTTCACCCTTCTCTGCCGTCACACGACTCTTGCCAGATGCATCCCGGCCCTGACTTCCTTCCACTCTGCATCACCCTTGTACTCGGGTATCAGCCTTTGATACACAAGCTTTAAACTTCCAGGCAGGCAATTCATCTGTCTTTCCCTTTCATTGTCTCTGGTGTCATAGTCAAAACGTTACTGCAAAGTCTTGTGTCACAAATGGGACTCACTTCTGACTGACCGCTTTACACAGCCGCCGTGCCCTGTGTGCCTAAGGATCTCTAACAAACTGCTGTGGTTTAGACAGTCTGTCTTCCTTAAAGCTTCATGGGCTTCATGGGACACTGGGCTGGTAGTTCTGGAAACCGTAGGAGTGGGGGACTGCCTGGAGGAAGGGCCACGGGGGATGGTCCTTAGGGACATCTTGGTCTGAAGTTTCCTGTGTGCCATGGGTAGACAGCCACTGCCACCCATTCTTACCACAGTGACAAAATATGTAACAACTCACTGACTTTTAGTTGTTTTCTTGGATACGTTGTCACAGCAACAAGAGAACTAATGTATTATTAACTGAACCTTTTTCTGAAGCAGATTCTTTGACCTCTTACAGCTAATGAATGGCCTTGTGGCTACTTAGGAGCATGTTGTCCCTGGAGCTGGACTTCCGTCCCCAAGACGAGGGAGGCAGTGACTGACAGCTGTGGGTAGTGGCAAGGTAGCACTTCCTTTCTGCAGGCCTGTCTTCCCTTACACGTACTTCTCATACAGCAAGGAGGGTTTCGGGTCTGTGGTAGCTGTGGCTCTACTGACCTCCACACCCTGGGCAGCACCCTGGGCCTACGCTCTCAAAGGCCAGGACCCACAAGGAGGTAATCTACCTTTCACTTAGAGTGTAAATATGAAGTACAGGTTGGAAAAAGAACAACTTACATGGGTGACAGCTTCCCAGGCAATCGGATGGCCTTCTGGGGTCCAGAGCAAGAGGCTAAGGAGAACGTGCCTGACCAGCTGCCCACACACAGGTGGTCTGGAGTCTGCACCGGGACTCTCAGCCGCTCTCTGCACATCCATAGCTGAGAGGCACTCACTTCTGCGCAGCATCCGCAGACGGCTGAGCAGTGCCTTCATCTCCACCTGGGTAACACAAGTCAGGAAGGTGAGACCTTAGGGAGGACTGGACACGAATGACCCTAGGACCTGTCTGATGCTTTGATGCCCAGGGAGAGAGAGCCAGGCACCAAAGCTCAGCTAAATCACACACAGTTCTACATAAACCCAAATCGGTTTAATAGAAATTTCTTAGCTTTCTTTCGTCTTGCCCAGGGCACTATGCCAGGACCTGATCTTTTTTTTATGTGAAGGCAAGTCCTCAGCAGAATGTAGTCAGAATTTTCTTATTGTGGGAGAAAACAAAAGGCCCCTTGAAGACGACCCCTCACTATAAGCCACAATCAGCTAGAGACACAACACAGGCCCTCTGGGCGGTGCTGGTAAGAAGGCAGGGGCTGCCCCTGCCTGGGCTGGCTGAGGGAAGCACAGGCCACACACACACAAGCTCATTTGTCTTGTTGCAGACACTAGGACGGTTGTTCGCACATGCCCACAGCTCAAGCAGAGGTCACAAGTCTGTGGAATCCACATAATAACAGTAACTGTTCTACATCCGTGGGTTGTTTTTGCATAAAAAATATTTATTTCATGTTGAGACTCCTGTGGCTCACAGAGAAAGGCAGGAGCTAGGGTCCCCAGCCTGTCCTGAGAATTCCCACGGTTGATATCGTGGGTCTCAGAGCTGCTGCTTCCTGCGGGCTTAGGCCCCATTCTGTGCCATCTGTCATGGGCAGCAGCACACTAGCAGTGTTGTATGTATTGTGTGAGCTCTCCTGATCACAAGGGTGACCGTGAGGAAGGCACCAGAGTGCTCTTCCACCGAGAGGAGCAGTGTTCCCAGGAGGGCCACCACCTCAGCTGGTGACATCTGCAAACTCCAAGGACTCCAAAGCAAATCCTTATCTCTCCCTGTACTCATCCTGTTTTGGTCACACTGACTTCTTCTAATATGGCTTCTATGTCTAGAAACTTCTGTAAGGGAGATGTGTTCTAGAAGTGACAGAGAAGCCTTTTTTTCTTATAAAAAAACTTCCTTTTGCTCACTATAGAAAGTTAAGAATGATAAAGCAACCCACCGAGCATCCTCTGACGGAGTCTCTGGGCAAGCCCGTGCTTCACGCGTTGGGAGTAACTGTTACTGCTCCCCTCTCACACCTCCATGGGGTACCGTGACCAGGTCATGTCTAAGCACCGTGTGGCAATGGGACACTTCCAGGTGTCCTGCTCGTCCTTAGCTGGGATCAGGCTCCACTTACGTAGGAGCGGCTTATTATGCAAACTCAGGCCACGTCAGCTCCTGCAGCTATGAACTCTGCTTTGCTCTCCATTGTGTTCAAACTGCTTTGTGTCAATGTCCAGAAAGATTTCCAGAAAGATTTTTACAAATGAGAAGACATTGTCTCAAGGGTTTGAGGCCCTGACCAAGCCAAAGGTACATAAAATACAGTCTTAAAAAAATTCATGATCCAATTTAGTTAGCCAGAGCAGATGAACACAGCTGCCAGAGGTATATCCCAGGAGGGGCAGGTACGCTCTTTACCCCTGGTTCCCTACCCCAGGGGGGACCAGCAGAGCAGCACCTGTAGCTGAGTGACTGTGACTTACTGCTTTTAAGTTAAGGCAAAGGCACAAACATCAGCAACTCCAAAGTCCTATCGTGCTTTGTGCTGGGACACTGAGTTCAGCCTGTGACAGTCAAGGGATCAAAGCTCACAAACGCCTGCATTAGGACATGCAAAGACGCCTTCCCTCTCTCTGGTCAGCAGTGGCGGTCCGTGAGTGACTGGCTAAGGAGAAGCTACATGGATGGAGTAGCTGTCTACGGCAAAGATGTGGTTGTTTATGTAGAATGAAGTTATTTCAGTAAGATTTGCTTCAATTAGCTGTCTGTTCATCCCAAGTAAGACCGAGGCACACTTTTAAAGAAAGGAAAGCACTTGTGGATCCGTTAGCTAGTCTATAGGAACAGGTGCCAATGCAGAACTTTCTAGAAATTAAATCCATTTTTAAAAAGTAAAACATTTATATTTGTGTGTGCATATGCACACGTGTGCAGCCCATGTATACACCACATGTATGGAGGTAACAGGTTACTTTTGGAGTTAGTTCTTGCTTTCCTTCCATGATGTGCTCCAGGATCAAACTCAGGTTGCTGGGCTTGGCAGCTGATGGATTTACTCACTGAGCCATCCTCCTGGCTGGCCCCTATAAATTAAATCTTACAGGACACAAATCATTAGTGTCCATGATCCATGTGGAGTAAGACATACCAACCAATTTAGTTTACAGAGAATCTAGTACAAAATGCAGAATGAAAGGGCTTTTGAAATGATGAGTGCTCCTTACTCACTGCTACTAAAAATAAGATGAAAGCTATGGACTAGGATTGCCCTTAGTCAGTTTAATGTGATATATATCTTTAATCTTTACTTCGTTTATTTACCTTGTGGATGGGTGGCATGTGCGACACAATGTGAGTTTGAAAGTCAGAGGACAACTTTTGGGGAATTGATTCTCTTTCTATATTGTGGGCTCTGTCTGGGGTTGAACTCAGGTCTTCAGACCTGGTGGCAAAAATGCCTTTATATGCTGAGTCATCTCACCAGCCCAAATGTGGTATTTTAAAGCAAAAACATTTTTCTTTTGAATTAAGTAGCTATTTTCAAATATGTGTGTAGATGGAAATTTATTTAAAATGCTTCATTTTGATCCAATATTATCCTCAAATTTCAATTCTTTTAAATTCCAAGGCTCATCTTCACCATGCTATGAAAGCCTTAATTTAAGTCAGTGGTTCTCAACTTTCCTAATGCTATGACCCCCAACCATGAAATTATTTTATTGCTCCTTCATAACTGTGACTTTTCTACTGCAATGAATTGTAAATATCTGTGTTTTCTGACGGTTTTAAGTGACTCCTGTGAAAGGCTTGTGACCCACAGGTTGAGAACCGCTCCTTTAAACAAATGAAATACAACACTGCACTGGCCTTGGATTTAGGGACAAACAGGAGCATTGTCCCAAGCACACGGAAACATGCTCCTTTTAATTACTAACATGGGCAAACAGCAGCAGAGACTGGAGGCTTGTTTTGTTTTTATTTTTTATGCACTGGTGTTTTGCCTGCGTATGTTTCTGTGTGAGGGTTTTGGATTCCCTGGAACTAGCGTTATAGACAGTTGTGAGCTGTGCTGGGAATTAAACCCAGGTCCTGTGGAAGAGCAGCCAGTGCTCTTAACCATCGAGCCATCTCTCCAGCCCTAGACTGAAGTTTTTAAAAGCCACCAAGCAAGTAAATGTTTGCAAGGAGGTGGCAGAGCTTTAATCAAAGCATGGCTTCCTGAAATAACTACATTCTATAAATAACATCTTTGCCATAGACTGATACCCAATCCTGTGCACAGGAACCCTGTGGTTAAATCGTCTGATTACCTCAGTACAAGTCTGGCTGATTCAGGGAAGCGGTCAGTGAGGCAGAAGAAGCAGACTGGTCAGGCTGCTGTGGGAGAGAGAAGACACTGACTGGCTCGGGAGCCAGACCCGGCCTTGGGACAGTGCTCCTCAGAGCAGCTGTCCTGTCTGCGTGGCCCCTCCTCGAGCAAGGAGCCCTGGGGTAAGTAAGGCTCGAGAGTAATTGACAGCAGCTGAGGACAATGAGCAGAATAACCTAGGATCAAATAACCCTGAGCACAGAAGGCCCAGAACAGGAGCAGCCTGGCGGCTGGGACAGCCTATTGTCTCAGGTCCCCAAGGAAGCAGAACGTCCCAGGCTTCAAGCTCAGCCCAAGTGGATGTGCATGCATGCACACGCACACGCACACACACACACACACAAGTGTTGAGAGGGAGTAGAGGCAAACCCGGTAAAGCCTGCACCCACCATGGTCTGCTCTCGCTGCTGACTCCCATCCTGTGGGCTGTAATAGAACACCAGGAGCCACAGCAGGCCTTCAGGGGGCTCAGCTTCCGACCTCAGCAACTGCTCCACTGCCAGATCAACCCATCCTCCAAAGTGAGTGAACAAAAACCAGCTCTCGAAGGGACCTCGCTGGGACCTGGAAGAGAGCAAGACATACACATGGCAGCCAGCAACCTCAAACCTTCTTCCTTTTGTTCAGCGTATCTTTACTGCTTGTATACTAACTAGTGCTTTACATTGCACTTTCCCACTGAAGAAAGACCCTCAGAGAAATTGGATTCAGAAATCTTTGTGTCTCACGCTGAGTCCATCACAGGACAACCAGAGGAACCCTCCAAAGCTTTATATCCAGGTACCTATAGGATTGTAGGCTCCAAGAGAGATTGGGCAGTGGAGTGGTAGGACTTGCAAGGCAGAGTGAGACTCTGCAAGCTGTCCCTCAGGTGGCTCCGGCATGAGGAGGGAGACGAGACGGTACCTAGCAGCACAGCAGAAGTACACCATGCTAACAGGCGGACACTTTAGCAGGAGGTGAAACCTTTTTCCAAGCTACCCTCTCATCCTCCGGGAACGTGTACAGCAGTAGTGCGTATTAAAGGGTGGACTCTGCTCCATTACTGTAGCCCTGACAGTCACAGCAAGACAGCATTGCCCCAGGAGACAAAGGGCAGAAGAGCCTAGGCCCCAGTGGGAACCTTCATCTAAGCAGGACATCATGGTCTTGGCAGTATCTGCGAGGCTTGTGGAGTCCAAGTCCTATGCACGGTTCTTGCCTTCTGGCCAGTGCTGATTCTTACCTCCCCTAGAACATTTGATTTATATGGTTTAGATCAAGCTTGCAGGGCAATGAAGGGAAAGAAAGGCAGGTACCACCTCAGCCTTAGTCCCTGTCAGAGGGGCAGGGCTGCAAGTCTCTCTCACGGACCTAACTGCAAGTAACCAAACAGCCAACCCCACTCACAGCACGGACCTACCTGCCTGGTCTTCCAGAAAAGAAAAAAAAAAAATCTTATACCTGCTTCGCACCCTTTTCCTGCGGACAGACCCCCATGGCCCGCTGAGTGCACAGGCACTGACCCTACCTGACAGTCTGAGCTGTTGTAAGGATTCACCAGGGAGGGAGGAGTGTTTTGATGGACAGGGCACTCACTCATACAAGTGAACGCAGCAACATGTACAGGGCAGTTTCAGCAGAGTAGAGAATCCTGGTGTGCGTGCGTGCGTGCGTGCGTGCGCATGTGTGGCGGGGGAGAACAGGGCGGGGGTGGGGGGGGGACGGTGACAAGAGGGTCTTGGGCCAACAAGGAATGTGCTGTCATTTATCCTCGGAACATGGGCCAGCTTGGAGGAAGCTCGAGGTATTATAAAGATGGTGGCAAGCCAGTGAGGGAATGCTTTTGGAGAACCTAGAGGAGGGCCTCCACCTGCTGTATAGAGTAATTTATTCTAGGGCAGGACGTTTGCTTTGGAGACATAAATTTATGTGTGTGCCTGTTTATGTGTTTGTGCATGTAAGTAGCCACAAAGGCCAAAAGGGGCATCAGAACCTCTGGCACTAAAGCTGTATGGGGCCGTGAGCTGCCTAATGTGGGCGCAAGGAACTGATGCCGAGTCCTCTACAACAGAAGCCAAGTGCTCTGAATCACAGAATCTCTCTAGCCCTTGGAGAGAGATTAAAGAAAACAATGTCAAAAAATGGAAATGGGGGTGGGATACAGGCAGTTATCACTCCTCCCACTGGCCGGGGGCTCCCTCTCCTTCCTAGGGAACCAGGGCACCTTCAGCGGCAGCCAGGGCCTCAACATGTACGGGTGCTGTCATTTCTGAAGCTTCTCTCTGTAAATGCAGATCTTACTAGAACGGCGCTACCAGACACACCTGCAATGCTGGCTACTCGCTCTGTCCCACACAAAGCAACCCTGCAGCCCATGCTGCCTCTGCTTCCTTCTCACTACAGATGGTGAGTGTGTGTTTGTCTTCTGCTGACAACCTGCTGGAAGACAGGTCAGGGAAGCCTCCCGTGAAAGGGCCATGGGTGGCGAGGGTTTGCTCACCCGTGAGTACGGTCTTCAACTGCTTCTCTGAGGAGTTGGGAAATGTGCAGCAGAGGCCGGAGCCGATGTATCTGTGGGATAGCTGTGGGTGGAGAGAAGTCAGAGGGGGACCAAAGGAAAGCCAAACCCATGGGGAGACGCTGGCAGTTTAGACCAAAAGCATTGTGCAGAAAGGCCCGCCCCCGCCATTCACAGAACCCACGCCATACTGCTCTCAACCAGGATCTGTCCCGGAGTCAAACCTCAAAGTTTCTTTTGTTGTCTTGTTTGAGAAAAGGGTGCCCTTAACTCACTATGTAGCCCCCGACTGGCCTTGAACTTACTGTTTGTCTGCCTCTGCCGTCCAGGAGCCAGGACTATAGCCCTGCACGTTGTGTCTGATCTCAAATATCTTTACTAAGTTATATAGAAAAGTCGATAAAAGATTCCCACCACAGCCACCCTAGGACATGGACTGCCTTGCTGCAGATGCCCTGCATATTTCTTTTTACCACATTCTGGCTCCATCTCAAATTTGTGACATCAAAATACAAAGGGATCATACTGAGTACATGAGTGAGGACAAGAAATGGCTAGCTCAACTGTTTTTCTAGGGTGTGTGATCAGGGCAGAGAAAAACAGAGAACTGTGCAAACAAACATGGTTGCTAACGTGTGTTGATTTCACACCTGCCTTTGAGCACCAGAGGTGGAGAGGCCACCCCGACACTTGTCCGTAAATGTAGCCCTGGGCACACAGCAGACCCTCCCTCAGGGTTATGACTTAACTTCTGAAGGAAAAAGGCATTTCCTCTTTACTAGTCACCAAGACAATGCTTTTCTTTTCCTGTAGTCCCTGAAGGTCATCACTTGGCAGTGACTTGTTATGACCCAGGACCTCACCATGAACATGAAGGATGAGCAGAGGCTTACATTCCTAACATACCCAACTTCTCCCCAAAGCAATGTGTACACAAATTGTCCTCAGGATCAACACCCAGCTTCCCGATTTTTGCTTCAGGTTCCTTGTTGTCTCTGGAGGATGGGAAAGCAGACAGCCTGAGTTCATGCTGTGGGACATGACTGGATTGCATCCGAGTTTCATAACCTATGCTCTGAGGACGGTTCGGCTAATAAGCTTTTCCTACTGTGTCCCCACTGAATGGGGAGGGGTAAAAAGAGGCTATGCTTGCTCCTGGGTATGGTGGAGGAAAAGATCGGAAACCGCCATGCAGGCAATGCAGGCATCCCACTCCACTGAGATGCTCAGCCCCCTCAGCTCTGTCAGAGGGCTTTGGCGTGTAAGTCATCTTGGGCAAGAACCTACGTCTTCTAGAAAAAGGAAAAGGTATTTGAACTTTGTAAAATGCTTTCAAACTCTGGATTGTTTGCTAACCTCAAAACAGATTTTATTCAAGCACAGGGGAAAGAAGCCACAGCAGGGAAACATGAGCCCTCCTCCATCCCTGCCCTTCCTGTCACAGGCCCTGTCTACAGACTGTGGCTGGCGTCAGAGGGAAAAGGCTCCTTTATGCTTCATAGCGGAGACATTCCCTAAACATGAGCTCATGGGCACAGCCGCAGATCAACACCAGTAGATTAGACATGGCCGAGGGGAGCAGATGAATCAGAAAAGGCTGGGGCCTAACAACACAAGACTGCAGACTCTTTTCAAAACCTCCTCCTTGGCTTGGGTGAAAAAAGTCTCCCTAAAATGCTACGGCCTCTTCCTTCACTTTATCCTTTGTTCTGCACAAGGCTGCGTGGTGCAAAGAAAGGGAAAGCAAACAAAGGTACTGTTGAACTCTGACTCAGCCTGTCCCTGCGCCTCAGAAAAGCTGTTATCAGAGGCTGGCCGACCTACCCCAGCAAGGGTTCTCTCCTTTTCCCTCATCACACCCAAAAAAAAGCACAGCACAGCACAGCACAGCACAGCAGGGTCTTCTGAGGAGGAAGGGAAGGCCAGGGAGGAAAGGGACAGGGTTACCATGCTCATTCCCACAATGCACTGTGACACGGGCAAAGGCCCCTCAGCTCACCTTCAGGGCACTGGGACAGCGCTGCAGTGAGCGATGGAACACCGTAAGGAAAGTAGGTCTTGAGGGAAAACTTCATCTGTAAGAGTCAAAATGGAATGGCGTGAGTGCTGGGGCTGGCTGGGACAGGGAGGCAGTGAGGACAGCATCAACCTCTGCCTGCCCTCAGCCCTAGAGACCCACCGTACTAGCACGGCATTGTGTATCCTCAAACACTGTGTAAACGTGCTTCCAGTAATCTCAAACAACATCCTTTAAACAGCATCTTCTGGAACTCGGGGAAGTCACATTATTTTGCTGCCAACTTTACTGAGGTTTCTTCTCAAACAAGCCCAGCCACAGACATTATCTTCTATTTCAGAGGGGGCTGCTAAACGCTTGTGGGGCCTGGGACCTCAGTGCGGCATTTAGGTCGGTCAGAGTCTAACCTGGTGCTCTTACGCTGAGGGCATGTGGTTGTTTATACTCACTTACCAGTATCTCCCAAAGGCACAGAATTTTGTAAATAAAACAGCAACAAAACCAGGTAAAACCTACAACACATGAGCTATACAGGCCTAGGTATACAGCTTGATAATCTTGGATGAGTGTGTGATTCCACCTGACCAGGACCTCAACATGACACACCGCCAGAATGCTGCTCTCATCCTGGGGAGTTCCCTGTGACTCTCAAAGTCAAACCCCCAAACCCCAGCCTGGCAATCACTGTTTTAATTTCACACAGGAGAGATCAATAATTAGGTCACTTATTACTAATTTTCACATAGGCAGACACATTGAGTGTGCATGCTTCTGCGTGTAGTCTTCATGGCTGCAGGACTCATCTGGCTGAGTGAGTTTGTTCTTACGCACTGCTTAGAAGTCATGAATACACAGGGGTTTGCTTATCTGCCCCTCAAAGATGAGTACAATTAAAACTCTACTGATATTCATGTCTACTCTGTGGACAGGTCTTTCAGTTTTCTAGGGTGAGTACCATGGAGGCGGTAACTTTTCACGGCCAACCGTGTTCTATCCCCACCATCACGGGATGAGAATGACTTGGCAACACTGGGTGTTCTGGAACCCACTGATTCTCACTGGTTTGCCTGGTGTGAAACGTTACTTTATACCCGCTTGCTTCTAAACTTGCTCTGTGGCAGGTGATGCTGAACCCTGCTCATGTGTGCATCCACAGTCTGAATAGCTTTCTGAAGTGTGTATCCGTAAACAGACAAACAAAACCTGATGTGTTTCCTACGAAGCTTTAAGAAACATGTCTTCTAGGATAAATACTGCAGCTATTGACTCTAAGCTGCTGGACAACTTGTTTGTCTTCAAAGACATCTACTACAGAATAGATACTATATTTTAATAAAGTCCAATTTATCCATTTTTTTTCTGTATGGCTAATGTTTTGTTTTCTTTCCTTTTTGGCATTGTTTCTAGGAAATCTTTGATTATCCAATGTTTAAAAAAAGAGAGAGAATATGCTATGCCATTTTCTCTTAAGAGCTTTATAGTTTTGACTTCTCTATTGAATCCTAAGATTTATCTCAGAACACCTTCTGGGTGCCTTCTGCGGAGGTTTATTCCCTCCCCACAAATGGGTATCCAGTTGTTTTTACACATTCCCTCACTACGTTACCCAAGTATCTCCTGTCAAAGCTCCTATGAATGGATCTGTATATAGACAGTGTCTGTCTTGCCAACCCCTCACTGGCTTAATTACTCATAGAATGAGTCCTCAAGCTGTTTGCTTTCTGGCTTTTGTGGGTCCTTTGTATGTCCAGCTTAGCCTGAGAATCGGCCCCTGTATGCATTGAGAAAGCCTTCTGCAGGGGCCAGAGTCTGTCATACAGGGCCTACGTGTGATTCCCGGCCCTGCAGAGAGAGGGGGTCACTGCTCACCTGAGAAGAAATGAGCAGCAGGACAGGTTGGGGAGGGGTTCTGTGAGGCTGGGCTTGCCCACTCCTGCTTCCTGAATTCCCATCCCTGCCTGCTGGTGACTGGAGGCCTCCCGGTGAACTGTCCGTGTGAACGCCACTGTCTACCCATGCCTTCTCTACAAGTTAGCGCCCTCTGCACTCCTGAGAACCTGGCTCTCTCCCCTCCACTTCCAGCCTCCCTGTCTTTAGAATAGGGTCTCTGAAAATAACACATGCACACATGCTGGGTCTTGTTTCAAATTCAACTGGCCACTTGTTTCAAATTCAACTGGCCACACCTGCCTTTACTCCACCGTTAACTGGTTTTCATAACGGAACCTCACTTTAACGTGTGGGGATTGGCGCCATCTTTTGCCCCGCCTCTTTCTTTCCTTTCCTGGACATCTAGTGGAGCCGTTTCCCGCCCGGAAGTTCTGGAACCACCTTGGGTTGTGGTCCCCATGCCGAGGCCCTTCGTTCTTGTCAGCTTTGTCAGATTTAACGGGATCCAACCCCATGTGATAACTTCATCTACAGGAGACTGGACACAGCCCAATGCCCATCCGTTCAACTGCTGGACCCATGGCTCCTGTGCTCCACAGCAGCTAAGACTGTGAGCTCAAGTTCTTGCCTGCAGCTGAGCAGGGCGCACTGGAAATGCTGCCCCATGCTCCCCACGAGACTGGGTGAGAGAAAAGAGCAGAGGGAGAAGCAGGCGCAGCATATTCTGACAGAGCGATAGGAGTGCGGTAAGAGAGCTCTGTACTTTGTAACCAACCTGGCAGGACCTGTAAAACCTAACTCTGCACCCCATAAGTGAGCACTTATTGTCACTCCACAAATGTTCAACACAACATGCTTACGACAGAAGGCAAATGTAAAATTAGCCGAGTGCCAGGAGCTACAAAAGGGCTGTGCTGTGGTACACTTGTGCAGTGGACTGCCTGCCGCAAGGCCACCTCCTGTGGCAGTGCCGGAGGTCTGACGCCACCTTCAAAGCACAGAGCAGAGAAGCTAGGCTCAGGGGTCACATGCGCTGCCTGTCTGTGTGTCTCATAAAGGGCAACCAAAATCAAAACCATCTTTGTTGTTCCGTGTAGCTAATCAAAGTATTTTGGAAAGGTAATATTGAATACAAAACTGCATCTGGGTTTCCTGGGAGGCAGGGAGAGGAGCACATGGGTCAGCACACCAGCGACCCAGGTCTGGTTCTGCTCACAATAACTGAAGGAGAGAGGGTCAGGGCAGAGGAAGCCGTACAGAACCATGCTGTGAACCAAGGACTATGGTTAGTCCTGAGTCCACCTGCTTCGTCGGTTAAGAAGGTGGGCTGTCAGAAGCAGCATCAGGAAGAGAAAACAAATCACTGCCTGTGGGTGTGAAGGTGTTTGCTAGGTCAGAAGATCTGCTGCTCACGGTGTGGAGCCAAAGGCAGGTAATAAACTCTTGTTTTTGGATTCCCGCCCTGCCTAAACCCGGGCCCAGTGTGTATCCCTCTCACTCCTGGACACATGTGGCCAGCACTCACTGTTTTAAGTTAGACTCACTGTAACTCCAGTCCAAATCCACAGTACCAAGGCCAGCAGACACTCAGGGCAAACCCCGAAGAACACTCGTGAATGCCGAAGGGGGGGGGGGACCTTTCTCTTGTCCTCCGCTCAACCTGGGTGTCCCAGGAAGTATAACCAAGGCCATTCCTCCCTGGGGATACAAGAGTGTACAAGGGAGGGTGGCATATGTTACAGCTGTGCTCACAACAGGGAGTGTCAGCCAGCGCCTTTTGGCTTAGGTCTCCCCCGATACCAAGATGGGACTCATCAATGCTGTTTGCTAAAATCTACTTAACTTCTCCAGGGAAATAGGCATGGCATGGATAAGCCATATACGTGTATGGTTGCCTTAGAAGGCAGGAGCATCTGCTAAAACTGAGAGACCTCTACAGCCTTGGGCTGAGAAGAATTTTCGTGGGTTGCGCACCCTAGCTCTGCCCTCCTAAGTTAGGACTGCAGACAGCAATCCTTCACAAAAAAGAGGTCCAGAACCAGTGCCATTCCGAGGAGGCAAAGCACCACACAAACATTATCCCTGGGCCCAATGCTGTTTGTTCCGTAGGAAAAGCTCCTGCCCCACGCGGTCATTCTAACTGGCCAGCCGCCCTCACGGATGCTGTCCAGCCTTTGCTGATAGGAACTTGGACTCCTCTGGTCTACTGATGGCATCCAACTTCTACTAGTTTTCCAAGTCCCTCCCTTTCGCCCCCTCCCTCCTGTCCCGGGGCTCTGGTGGGAATAAGGACAATGATCACTGGGACCGCACAGCTTGCAGTGTCTACAGTACATTCCAGGTAGCCTGCAGGGTCTCTTGCTGGCCTCAGGGCCAGCTGCAGACAAAGGAGCAGACGCAGACAGGGGACTGGCGGGGGGGCGGTGAGGGCCAGTGGCAATTTTCTCTCTAGTGAGATGGCGATGTGAGGACACACTCAGACACAGCAGTGGGCAAGTGGTTATGGCACAGGGCATGGGGAAGGCAGACTAAAGCTTTAGTTGTTCCCAGTTAAAATGTTTCACCTCTGCAGGAGTGGTCCTTTGGACACTTCCTTTGTGAACAAGACTCCACCAACATCTCTGCAAACGAGGCCGGGAGTGCAGCCAGTGCGGACGCATGCGCCCAGCACGTGTGAGGCTGTGGGCGGACCCCAGGAACACACGGTTTCTCAGAATAAAGACGCTTCCAGCTGGTCACCGAATGCCCACGGGACCTCCCTCACACTGAGTGCCACGTACCTGCTTGTTCTCTTTCCCCAGAGCGTCTGCCCAGCACCGGGTGAATACCTGAAGAGCGGCTAGTACTTCTGGGGCTCCATCAGTCTCCAGCAGCACAAACCTGAACAGAGAAAAGTGGCATGGTGACACACTGCTGACCCCTCACACACCACAAACCCACGCCACGGCCCGAGCTGTCTTATTTCACCCTGAGTGAAGGGCGGCAGGGACACAGCCACCCTCCAATCTTCTTTCAAACTTGACTAGCCTTCAATAAAAACACTAGCCTGTTCTCTTACACCTGTGGCTGTGCAAGTTAAAGTTGATGTGTTTTAAGAGCAACGCAAATGGTTGTAAAAAAATCCTTTCCCAGGTCTGGAGAGATGGCTCGGTGTTTAGAGCACTCCGTGCTTTTCCAGAGAACTTGAATTCAATTTCCAGCATCCGTATCAGGCAGCTCACAACCTTCTGCAACCTCTGACCTCTATGGGCACCTGCACATATAGAGGCGCATGTGTGTGTGTGTGTGTGTGTGTGTGTGTGTGTGTGTGTGTGTATATATATATATATATATATATATATATATATATATATATATATATAAATCTCAAACAAAGCTTCCTTTCCTGGAACCTGCTGTCTGCTCTGGAGAACCCTTCCTCCATGTCAGTGTGAGAGCTACGTGTTTTGAAGGCAGGTCCAGACCGTCATTGCTCATACCCACAAGGGGCTGGAAGCCCTAGTCTATCTTTAGGACTCCACAGTTACAGACAACCTGGCGTGTTACACACTCCTTATTGCTGGCTTTCTAAAGCCAGCGCATGTCCCCAGCACCGGAGTCTTTAAAGTACAGACCGCTGTGTTGTTTATTGGGTTTATCCTGCCCTTCGGGGGCTCTGTTCACAATAGCTGTGGCTTTCTTCAAGATCTTTGACCAAGCCCAGTCAGCCCTCGTGTGGTGAAGAGCTGTACTGCTTGCTTTACTTGGAGCTGGGTTCAATTCCGCTTCTCGATCCCTCAGTCCCAGCTACTACTGCCTTTGCCGGGCACGCTGACTTCTGAGTTTTTACCACTAGCTACCCCAAAATCCAAGCTTCTACTTTCCCACCACAGCCAGAAACTACTGCAAGCACGGGTTTTTATTGATGTTTGGAAGCTGAGCATCCCCAGATCAACTATTCCCAAAGATGTTGCATTTACCTGAACATTTCGTCTACAATTCTGAAGATAGCAGGGTGGCGGGCTGCCTGAGGCTGTGAAAGGAAAAGACCATGGGACACTGAAATACAGCAGGTGTCCATCAGTAGCAACTTTGCATTACCAGGCTAACGAATACAGCAGGTGTCCATCAGTAGCAACTTTGGGTTACCAGGCTAACGGTGGTCTGTGGCTGCTCCAGAAAGGGGGCTCATCCCTGTGGGCTAAATGAAAAGAGCACCGGGTGCACAGAAAACCCCACACATAACATGCCACAGTGGCTCTCTTTGGCCAGGGGTGGCGGGCGCTTGTTGTTATATTCCTGTTATAGACCACATTTTCTATAGCAAGTCCGTATGATGTAGAAGAAGAAGAAAAAAAAAAAAAAAGAGTAAGTTTCGTGAGCAGTTAAAAACAGTCCACAGACCTGCCTTAGGGCCTCCTCAGCTGGCCTGGAGCTGCCTCAACAGCAGCCTCCGCCCTCCGTACCCTCCACCCCACCTCACCTCACCTCTGCCCGTACTTGGTAACAAGCACCTAAGAAACAGGTGGCCCTGTGCTGGACATTAGGTACAGGGCACAGTCATCAGTTAATGGGGAGCACAGCTGCATGACGCCCGGTGATAGCTAGCTCTCTACCCTAGCCTTAAACAGCCTGTTCATTTTTTTTAATGACTTCAGTCCAAAGAAGCTGGCTTCCTGAGCCTAGGTAGTGCCTCAGTGGGCCTTATAGCTCCCATGTATTTTTGCTGAGAGCTTAAAACTCGAGTTTATGAGAGATTTTTAAAAATGCATTATAAAACTCACAGGGACATCAAGATATGAGTTGGCCAGGCTCTAATGAAGGCACTTTGTGCTTGCTATGACTAGTTTGGAGAAGCATTTTTTTCTTAGCAGTCTCAGGTCCTATGTGTCACTGTCCTGAACAACCCTGAAAAACAACTCCTGGCTTCCCATTTGTTAGTGCTGCTGTGGCAGCTCAACTTGCAACAAGGAGTGTGTGCCATCTAGTGGTCATATGTGAGAACTACAGACTACCACAGACAGACATTTACGATTTGCAAGTTAATGCTTCCTGATTTTCAAATAAAGTAACACATAATTTCTAACCCTTTGTCAATATACATCTCTATCCAAATGAAGTGAACTTCAGATCATCATAAAATTGTTACCTACTCAAATGAGTAACAGAGGTTATTTCTTGGCTTTAATCTCAGAAAGTCGTTTAATTTGCCTGCTCATATTCACTGTAAACACTAACATTGTTATAGCGCTTGGACATAGGCCCAAAAAACACTGGAGGAGTTTCTGTGTGGTCATAATGAGTAAGTCCAAACAGGACAAGAGCAAACTGCATGTCTTAAAGAAATAGAACTCAGCTAAGTTTGCCAGGACAATTCCGTTTTATGTAGGAATGTACCTTCTAAAAGCAAAGTCCAAAGATTTTCACAGGCAGGCAGGCAGGCAGGCAGGCAGGCACACACGCACAGAGGCACAGACCCAGTGCTGAATGTGCACTGGGGAAAATAGGTTCAGGGAAGAAAAGTCATTTTCTCTTATCCTAAATGCCTTTGAGAATCATGTGAGCTGACAACACAGATTTCTAAACAGTAAATACAAGCTGTAAGAGGACACAAGGAGGGAGGGGTGTTCTAATCTAGTTTGCCAAAGAGAAAACTAGATGAACTTTGCTTCGATGCAGTGGTTTCCTTCTGAACAGCTCAGCTGGTGATTCCAACCCTAACAGCCATGGAATCCAGCCTCGCTCTCTACACGGCTGGACTCTGTACACAGATGTCTCTTTGTAAGGACTTGGGATTGGTGGTTTTCCCCGGTTTCCACAAGCTACTTTTGATCCCGGAACAGGAAGAGACGAGCAGGCAGGGCACACCCTGAAATAGCCATGGCAGGGGTGCCGCCTGCCCTCCTTGTGACTCTCACTGAGGACCCCCTCCTCCCTGCACGCCACTGGAGGTGCTCCCTTGTGACTCACTGAGGACCCCCTCCCTCCTCCCTGCACGCCACTGGAGGTGCTCCCTTGTGACTGAGGACCCCCTCCCTCCTCCCTGCACTCCACTGGAGGTGCTCCCTTGTGACTCACTGAGGACCCCCTCCCTCCTCCCTGCACTCCACTGGAGGTGCTCCCAGCACAGACTTTCACTGTTAGTAAAGCTGTTTCACAGAGACCAAAGTATTCTCAGGTCCCGGTGACACACACAAGCCAATTTTGTCATGCTTCTCTGCCAAAAGCCAACTTCTACCTCTTACGGGGTCCTTGTGAGGAGAATGCAGACTTACGCCCCCTGCACAGCATTTTACAGGTGGGGCCTCATCGGTCACGCTAAAGCCCTGCCCTAGAACATGAGATCCGTGCAATTATCTTTCCTGCCTAAATAAGGAAAAAGGAAGGAAGCAAGGCTGCCTGAGGGTCCATGTGCTCGTCTGTTTTGCTCCATCCCCACAAACGCTGTTCCTTCTCCTCCATCTGTCCAAGGATCTTCACGTGGAGACTGCTTCATGCCAGGGAAACTGTCACCAAAAGATACAGGGACACTCCACCCTCCCTTGCCCCTCACCTTCAATCATCGCCGGAGGACTGACTGGTGGGGGCGAAGGCCTGTAGCTTCCTCACCTTCTTCCTTTCCCTGGAGCCAGTGTCCTGTCATCGGATAAGACTCTTTCCTCTAGATCCCCTCTCCCCAGGATGGCTCACCTACATCCCTCAACAGCACTCAGGCAGGCGAGTTGACGTGGACCGTACAGAGCATCAACAAGGCAGGTGAGGAATGCTGGAGCCTGCTTCCCGACCTGTGCCAGCCATCAGCTGTGCGGGCTCCAGCTCAACCATGGAGCTCGTTAACCCTACTTTCATTCCAGTGCATCAAGGGTTATTTTGAGCCACCTGACGCTCCAAAGAGGATGAGAACTCACAGCAATTTCTCAGGAAGAGGACTCTTTCCTATCAGTTGCTTTCAGACTGTGTGTGTGTGTGTGTGTGTGTGTGTGTGTGTGTGTGTGTGATAGAGAGAAAGACAAACAGACAGAGAGGTAGATAGAAGGGAACTCATAAGGTGATTCACAGAGAAAAGTGAGTACCTTTCAGAAAAGACAATGAGGGATGAAAGCCACAAGCCTTCTATCTCACAGAACCAGAGGGAAACAACAGGTGAGTGCAGGCTCAGGTGCAGTAGCTCAGGACGGGTTCTTTTTTCTCAGCCCATTTTAGTGTTGTTTGATGATCACTGAGAAAAACAGCAGAGTTTTCCCTCCAACCGCACACCAGAGGTGCAGCCCATCTCCTGTTCCACTGACTATAGTCATCACAGAGACACAAATACACACAAACCCAAAAAACAAAAAGCCTCTTAGGCTTCAACAATAAACTCTTTCACAAAGTTAAAAAATGACTTACCTTGAAAAAAAAAATACCTTTATAAAAAAGGAAAAAAAAAACTTCACATTTACTATGCATTTTTATAAATACATACTTTAGTTATGGCATTTTCTTTTCTATTTTTAAAATGTTAAACATAAAACAACCCTTTCACATTTTAGAATCTATTTTGTTTTTAAAGATTCATGTTTCTTACAACAAATTTGAGCTTTCTTTTTAATCTTTACCAGATGTTGTTTATACTACAAGCAATTTTTTCAGTACTCCATAATGTAATTATTGTTTAATTAGTGATAAATCTGTCATTCTTGGGCTTAAAACCTTAACAAGTACCAAATGTGCTCTTACGTTTTAAGTTTACGTGAGGGCTCGGTGTCAGGACAGAGAGGTAGGGTACCCGCTGTGAGATGCCCAGCTCTGCGCACTGGACAAACTCCCCCAGCTTTGGACCCTGTGTGTGCCTATGCTCAAAGGTAGTTCCTCGGGTTTCATCTCTGAGTGGGAGGGGCTGCCATGCTCACTGTCTTTTGTGGTCTGTTTGTAGTCCTCCTCCCCTCCACCTTCCAGTAGTTACAAGGCCTGCAACCCTAAGAATGAAGATTATCCTGCACCCTGGGCTTTCTTTGAAGACAATGTTGGGGCATCCGGTGCCCTCTGGAGGCAGACACTGGGACAGACAGAAGCCCCTCCACGGGTCTAAGGCTATCTTCCACTCCAGCCCTGGTTTAATTACATATCTCACATCAGAGTTCAGGCAGAAAATACTTCAACACCAATGAAAATGCTCGACTAGACAAAGATCATTTTTACTGAGCTACCGACTCTTCTACGTAAGATAATCAGTAAGGAATAGTCTCTGTCTTAAGATCAGAGTAAAGCAAAAGCCCTACCCTGCCTCCTGCCTCCTGTGCACCCCCCTCTTCGGGGCAGCTCTCCTAAGCCCAAAAGTGGTGCTTTCAGCAGGCGGGTCAGCCCACGAGGGAGTGCACAGGAGGGCATGGGAATCAGGGTGCCCCTGGCTCTGGCACGTAGCACAGTGTGGCAGCCAAGCATAGGCCACCCTGCCATCCAGCAGGCCCTTCTCATTCAAATTGGTGGCCTAAACAATAGCTTTCTGGGCTCCACACACAGAACTGTAACAAGAAAACAGCCTCCTTGATACAAGGCCAGCCTGGGCAAAGAGCATCGTGCCAAAAGGGCTGCATAATTAGCAAGTGGCTTTGACTACTGCCCCTGACGTCAGTGTTTAAGGTCAGGTCTGAGGCTACGGATTACGGTCTCCTGGTGACTGCTCTGTCAAAGGAAACACAAGACCATCTGTTTTTGAAACTTTTAGTCTGCACAGTAAATGACAAACTGGGGTTAATACCCTGATCTATCTGGGGCCACCAACCATGGCAGGCAGCCACGATCTTGGGGACAATCCAGGGTAAAGAAGCCAAAGGTTGAATCTCAAACGTAAACAGGTTTGGGAATGTATTTTTGTTTCTCAAGTCTCATGTACGTGCACACACACACATCTCATTCGGAGTTACAGTGAATTCAGACTAGTCTCTAATTATTCGTTATCTTACCAGAAACTGCCAGGCCTCTTATGTCTCTGAAAGGCCAAAGGACATTCAGGTAGATCACTACACTTTGCACAGCACTTTTATCTTTTGTTTTTGCTACACTGGGGTAACTATAGGATTTCCAGGAATCATTCTCGATAGTCCCAAGAGATGAGAATATAATTAACAATGTTCCACACAAAGCACAAGTTCCGTAGACCATCACACTTTAATTACTGTCAGAATCTAGCACTAATGCAATTGGCATCGGGTTTCTTGGGCAGCAAAAAACTCAGCAGTCGAGCTGAGTCTTACAGATCTGATACTGAGAATGGTCCTGTCAATGTTCGAAGATGCTGCACTGTGATAAATGAATCAGATGATGCAATTAGGAAGCAGGTTCAAGTTACCCCTGTAATCACTCAGCCAGGTCACGGGCTTCTCCTACCCTGCTGGGCTCTCTGGCTCTGTGGGTTCAGTATGGCTGAGGAGAACTGCCTAAGCCAATCAGAGGCTTCCAGCTTGTTGTCTGTATTGTAATTACCTCCATGAGCCACAAGGCATAGAGAGGTCACATCCTGGCAATGCCACAATAAATTAAACCAAGTAACACCCCCTCAAATCTCTCGTCAACCGTAATAAAAGCTCTGAAGCTCCCCACACATGATCCTGATAAACGGTTTCTAAGCCCCTTGACCGGGAGTCTGAGGTCCCCTCAGTACTGCATCTAGTGGGGATAACACTTTCCTGTGCTCACTAAAGAAGGTTGGGCTGACACAGCTCCAGAACAGATGCAGACAAGGTTCAGAAAGGAAGCCATAACATCAACAGTCACAGACAGCCCACGAGATTGGAGAGCTTTTCACTGAGGGAAGATGTAAAGGACATTAAAAGTAGACTTGAAAGCAAATAACCCCATGCCATCTTTTTCACTGAGAACGAGGAAGGCCAGAGATAAAGTAACAAGGCACAGTGTGCACATTTAATTTATAAATAAATAAAGACATGCACCAGGTAAAGTAACTTACTACCTCATGTCAGAGGGCTTCTAGATGACCTACAGGATCTGTAAGGAAGCTACATTCTTATTTCTAGCCTTAGAATTCTATATAACTTTTGAAAATGGTGAGAAGTAGCAATCATACATGCAAATGTACATATATACACACATGTGTGTGAGAGAAAATTCGATCAGCTACTGCCCATGACTAATTCCCTTACAGTCTCCAGTCTGAAAAGTGGTTTCAACAACACAGGGCAGCCAGGCAGCCTCAGCACCTCCATCTGTCTGGATTATGACCACGGCAGACATGTGCTCTCCATGCTCATGGCCATTGAGTTGAGATATCAGTATCCTGCACTGCTATGGGAACTCACTGGCTGGCTTCTTATTAGCACGCTGTGCACAGTAAATCTCTTTCATAATTTTTAAATGTGGTCTTAGTATGTTTCCCAGGCTGTTTTTAAATTACGTCTTATTTATTAGGGGGTGTTGGTACATGTCATAGCATGTGTGGAACTACCTATGGTAGTTTGTTCTCTCCTTTTGCCATGTGGGTCCTGGGTATTGAACTCATGTTGTCAGACTTGACGACAATCAACTTCACCCACCGAGAAATTTTGGCGCCCACCAACCAAACTGATTTTAAATTGGGCTCAACTGATCCTTTATTTGTGCCTTCTGAGTGCTTGCATAAATCAGTGAGCCACTGTGCTCAGTTTAGTTTGCTTTGCACACACACTCTCTCTCTTTTACACACATACACACACACACTCTCTCACATACACACACTCACACACACACACTCTCTCTTACACACACACACACACACACACACACCTTTTGCTTATTCTTTTTATGTATCTTATAAAGAAAGCAGTTCATTTGAAAGATACTTTTGTCTCAGCCTGTCACTAGATTAAATAAGAGGTTCTTTCCTCACTGGGGAAATTGTCACCACATTTTGTGTGATGTATGGTCTGGCTATCTTTTTTCCCTGGGGACACTGCTCTTTCTGAATCTCTCTAACTCCACTAAAGGCAGATACTCAGACTGGCCAGGCCCTGACCACTGCCTGGGAGCGTGGCCACTGCTGCCAAGATGATCTGAGCACTCTTGAAGGACGTGGGGGCTTCTGTATGCAGGAGCCTCGGCAAAAGACACTCACACAAGTTTAACTGGTTTCGATGCTTTAAACATTTTTCTGGGCTTGTTTCTCTCGAGTACTCTTACTTTCTCTTCACTTATGTTCACTTTCCTTTTTTCTTTGTCTTCAAGATTTGTTTTACTTATGTGTCTGTGCATGTATTTATGTGTACCACATGTGTGCAGGAGCCCAGAGAGACCAGAAGAGGGTGTCTGGAACTGGAGTTACTCTGACCAATACATACGTGCACTGGCATACATGTCCACACACAAATAAATGTAAGGGTTGTTTTGTTTTTGTTTGTTTGTTTGTTTCTATTAATTAGAAGGTAGCCCCTGAAACCAAAACTGTCTGTTTTTACTATACCCAGTTATGTACTATATCCAGCTTTACTTGGAAATGCTCTCATCCACTGCCCTCGGGAACATGTGGGGTTGGGACCCTAGCAGTCCAGGACCAGTGTTTTTGATCATCCATGTAAGTTCACTTTCTGAATTTGTATTTTCTGTCTCTCTCTCTCTTTCTCATCTATAAGATGTTAAAACGATAAACTATTTTTTAAAAGACTATTCTGTATCTTGGGCCTCTTCAGACCTCTGAGAACTACATTCTATGCATGCCATAGGCGAGGACATGGCCTGTCTGTTTTCTCCTGTGAAATGGGGCAATGTGGTAAACAGGGCAAGTACAGGACAGCATCTGAATCTCCTTAGCATGAGCAGGTGGGTGGAGGCAGCGCGCGCGCGCGCGCACACACACACACACACACACACACACACGCACACAGAGAGACACACACACGCACACACACACACACGCACACACACACGCACACGGACGCGCATACACACACACACACAGAGACACACACACGCACACACACACACACAGAGACACGCACACAGAGAGAGACACGCACACACACGCACACACACACGCACACACAGAGAGAGACACACACAGAGAGAGAGAGAGAGAGAGAGAAAATAAGGACTCTTCTAATCATGAGAAAAGATGCTCCTAACAAAGCGTAAATGATAAGTTTAAAGCCGCCCCCATCATACTTTTTACTTCTATCACCAAAGCCCAGCACGTACCAGCCATGACTCTTTTATACAGCACTCCATCTCTCTCAGGCAATTTCTCTTGCTGGAGAACAGCTTTTCAAAAAGATGCAGAGTTGCTTTTTCAAGACTTGGGAGATGGCGAAACCAGAGGCTGACCACAGAGGACATGGGCAGAATCATCTTTTTCCTTTAAGCAAGAAATAAGCAGAAGATTAAACAGAAATAGATTCATGAAGAGAGAGAGAGAGAGAGAGAGAGAGAGAGAGAGAGAGAGAGAGAAAAGAGCAACATTCAAATGGCAATTACTAATTAAGTGTGTAGGGTTCTCACCATGGTCTTGACAGCGGTTGGTATTTATACACCTGTTTGTAAAACACCATGGCACTCATCCACCTAAGAACTTAAAAGAACTAAGGCTGCTCCCAAAAGTATAAACACATACAAATTAGAGAAAGAGAAAAAGGAAAAATGAGTTGAACAAAACCCCTGTGATGTCTAGGAAATACAGATGTAAAGTTAAACAGCATGCCACATGTTAAACATCTGAAGTAGACTGAGACCTGGACTGAGTCTGTGGCCCGAAGGGATACCTGGCCCTTCATAGCCTCAGTTTACCTATCTGTAAACAAAAGTGGCTAGAAGGATCCAAGGCACGTAACAGGCAGCACAGACCACACTGTGAATACTAAATGTGAATGCAAGTCTTGATGGTAGACGGCCCAGTGTTACAGCCAAACCATGTCATGCAGCTTTATTTCAGTTTGCTGTCTTTTGTGTGTTATCTAAGTGTGTGAGTGACAGTGTAGTGTATGTACATGTGTGCATTGCCATGCATTCGTATATGCGGAGGTCAGAGGATGACATCAGATCTCTTCCCTATCACTCTCTGCCTTACTCCTTTGAAGCAGGGTCTATTCCTGAACCTACAGGGCATGGTTGTTTTTGTTTTTTCTTTTGTTTTGGCTAGGCTGGCAGCCAGCAATTCTCCTGTCTCCACAGCACTCCCCTACCCCCCACACACACACTCCTGGGGGTTACAGGCATATTAGGGAGGACTCCCAGCTTTTAACTTAGGAGGAGGACACTTCCTGTGTGGGTGTGCTGCTCAGCATGCCGTTGGCACCCGAGCCTCCCCAATCTTGGAGTTAAGATGCTCCCCAGCTTGTGTGTAACAAGCTCATAACTATCAACAGGAATGGCTCTCTCTCTCAAACGTGCTGTTCTAACTTAATAGTCATAACAGCTACCACGTGTCACAGTCGCCTTATGTGGTCATCCATGCTGCCACCAACTGCATACATGTTTTCCTTCATGCCAACCTCCTCTCCATCTCTCTGGAGACCCACCCCATGGATGTCTACTATTTCAATCTGAGTCTGATGACAGCTGCCCATGGTTACTGCAGCCTTCAGTGGGAGACTCGTCCACAAACAACAAGCCTTATGGTTAAAAACAGTTTCCCACGATCCCTTCTTTGGTGTGACAATTAGGTAAAGCAGTTCAGAATTTACAACAATGCTCTACTTACAACCATCAGCAATTCCTGGTAAAATAAACAAGCAGGAGTGGTCAGACAGAAGGGACCCACAGGCACATGGGGGACGGCTGGGGGTTTCCATGCCCTCTCTGGGTATAGCAGTCTGGCAATGTCTTTGTGTTCACCGGGATGCTTTTCAAGACCTGTGGTTGAGCTGATGTTAGCCCCAGCCACTGGTAATTACTGCCAGTTCTGGTGGTCACAAGTCTGGTGGCTCTGCTGTTACCACTGACCCTGAAGCTCCAGGGGCTCGGCAGACTCGTCCCTTAGCCTAAACTCACATGTGGTTGGAAAAGGCTTATTGTACCAAAAGATAACTCCCTTGCCCCTATCACTCAGGAAATCCCACAAGTTTAATAAGCCTGGTGGTCACAGACCATACATATGTTTCTTACTCTGACATAACATCGAAGCCATGTATCCATTTCCTCTTTCATCTGCTTCAAGCACATGGAAAGAAACCTCTGCATGCCATCATCAAACCCACCCCCCGGTTTTTTTTTTTTTTTTAAAAAAACACTGGGTTTCGGTTTAGTCCAGAGGACACAGGACACGCTCCATTACTAACAGTCCACAGCAGCCTTCCCACCTAAATTCACCCCAGGGATGGATTTTATAAAAAGTTAAGTTCAACCTTTAAGTCAAGAAATTAAAAGGTTCCTCTAAGTTATCTAAACCACAAAGGGGAACCAGCATGAGTTGTTTAGAGGAAACAGACTGGCCACTTCTGGAAATCCGTGACTGTGTTTGGAAGCCAAAGCAAAATACGCCCAGCCTGTTGTAAAGCACAGGAATTCCGCCATGTGCTGCGGTAAGCAGTCGGGCGGGAAGCTGAACATAGGCGAGGCTACTTTGGTCTAAGAAAGCTGTGGTTTCTAGAAGGCCACACAGCCCTGTGTGGAACTGTTCAAGCTGGGAGGAGCGCAGGGTGTGGGGCAGCAATCAGCGAGGCTCACGGAGTCAGCCTCCTTTGTGGACATGTGGCGGGTGGGCTCTGCACAGAGCAGCGTCCACGGAAAGGTTCCAGCTGATGCTGCCGCTGGGCTAACTTGCTGGCCTGAAGCTGTTGGCATTGGTGAGGACCACCCAGCATTTCTGGACAGGCTGTCCCTTGTGGATTAGTTAGTAGACATAAGTTTCCAAACTAAATAAACTATTAGTTGCTGCGGGAGAATGCTCTAATGTAAGTGAAATGAGAGGCAGGCAGGCAGGTCCTCGCTCTGGGCTCTGGGAACCACACCTACTGGTCAGTAACTTCTGAGACTGCTATTGAGACTTACAAAAGATGCCAAAGGTGGTCTGCCTTCATCCAAGTCTTGTCAGGAAAAAAAGGCTGGACATAAAAGGAAGATGGATCCCTATGGTCAGAAATGGAGCTTCCACTGTGTGTGCTGTATGAAAGCTGGGTCTGTATAAAATACATTGTTAATCTGTCATTCTTGGGAAGTTTTAGAAGTTCTTCGTGGTAAAGGAGAACTTGAGATACTCTGCACCAGCCTGTTCTGTCTGTAGAGAGGTGCTCCTGTGCAAGTGTGAGCCCTTGCCTCAAGTGACACTCCCATTCCGTAGACAGCGGCAACAATGGTGACTCACTAAGTACACGGCACACACTTTCTTAACAACTAACGAAGTGACCAGGTCCCTGCAGTGCCATCCTGCCCACCAGTGAACTGGTGGTGGTGGCCACGCCCTTTGGGTGTGGTTTCAGGTGCAGATGCAACCTATTATAAGGTAGAGGAGGGGCTGGCTGGAGCACTCTTGGGTGGCAGAGAGCATCGGAGGGGCAGAGAATGCACCTTCTAGAGCAGGAAGACCGCAGTGATTATTTTCTCTCATCTGTGCTTCCTTAATAAAAACCTACTCATCATTTATCTTGGGTCCGGTGGACCCATTTAAACCCCACCTTCAGGTCCCCTTTAAAGGGGGAAGGGTAGAATTTGTGGCCCACAGTAGGCTCGAAGGGTTTTCTCTTTATTTTACTCATTTTAAGCCCTTTGTAGTGGCATGCACCTGTAATCCTGCTGAAAGGTAGGCAGAGACAGCAGGGTCCCTGGCGGACTCTTTATCTTAAGTTACTTTATCATTGCCACTATGTACATGGGTAGTGACGGTGCACAGACGCCATGACACCTATGTGAAAGTAAGAAGACAAACCTTTGGAAGCCAGTTCTATCCTCTGACTGTGGGTTCCACATCCCACTCAGGCCATCGGGCTTATCTTTCCAGCCTAAATCTAAGCTTTTAAACAGAAATTAGAACCGTGGAAAATTTTTGACAGTTTCTCAACACTTTGTGACATGTCATCAAGGATGACAGCCAGCACAGCAGCTCTAAGTTTTTAGAATACACCAACGTTAGGAAGATGAACTTGAGATGAGGATGGGATTTTCCAAATGAGCCACACATCATGCTACAAAGCCATACAGAGATGCAAGACCTGAACTACAAAACAGGCCTGTGACTGTAATAAGAAAAATAAAAGACCCAGAGTCTGATATTGGGGTTCAAGCTGAAGGTCAGAGAAGCAAAGCAGCCAAGCCAGTGGATCTTACCTCTAACCCAGCTCAAACAGCAATCCTGTCTCCACGAATCCTCACAGGCAAAAGCTCTCAGGTCCTTTTATTCCTCTCTCCACCCAGCCTTACCACGCTGTCTCCACCTCCCTAGAGCTGGGATTAAAGATGTGTGATCCCAAATGCTGAGATCGCCTTTGTGTGAACTGCTTCTTTTAGGACTGAATCAATTAGTATAGTCCATGTGGCCTTGAACTCAGAGAGATCTGTCTACCTCTTAATCCTGGGTCCTGGGAGTAAAGGTGTGTTACCACCACCCGGCTTCTATAGCTAACTAGTATGGCTGCTTTGCTATTTTGATCTCCAGTGACTTTAATAAATCATTAACAATATATGACTGTGTGCATGTGTGTACATGTATGTATATGATGCATGTGTACATGTAGAGGCCAGACACCAGCCTGTAATCATCTACTTGGCCTGGAGCTTCTGACCCAGGGATCCTCCTGTCTCCTCCTGCCTTTCACTAGGGTTACAGGTACTTGACACCACAATGAGCCTTTTCTACATAGGTGCTGGGGATCTGAACTCAAGCATTCATGCTTGCATGGCAAGTGAGCCACCAGGTGAGCCGCCACCCCAGGCCAGGTCAATGGACTTTAATGTAACAGAGTATAAAAGTCTCATTAATATAACCTCAGTTCCCACATTGCAACTTACTTCTAAAAACATGACCATGTCAAATCTAGGTTAAAGCAAACTATCCACTCTATCTCCAATGGTTAATGTGATAGCACTGCCTTTCTAATTAAGCACCTGTGTGGGGATAGGCATTTCCACCAAAGCAGTATATCCCACAGACTGAACATAGCTTTCCAGGGCAGGCAAAGAGACTCCTAAGACATAAAAATAGTGCTACCTGTCTAACGGGTTCTCTCTGTCTTACAAAGGCTGCTGCTAACTGTTACTACTGTTATTGTTTATGGCTGTTATTATTATCACTACTATTATTACATTGTGTGTATTATGAAAATGGTGATCCATGCACTTCCATGCCCACGTGCAGAACCCAGAGGACAGCAGGTAGCCTGCTTTATCACTGTCCATTTCATTCCCTTGAGATAGGGTCCCCAATTGAACCTGGACTTTCCCTTTTGAGAGTGTTTGACCAACAAGCCTCAGGAATCCACCTTTTTCGTCCCACATCCCAATGCTTGGGTTAAGGGTATGTCTAATAATGTACAGCTTTTATGTGGTTGATAAGGATCTGAAGCTGTTTTCTCAGAAAGCGTTCCTACCCACTAAGCCATCTCTACAGCCCTTTATGACTATTTTCAAACAAATGAAGCAACTTTCTTTTGAAGTAATATTCCCCCTTCCTCTTCCCTCCTTCTCCACCCTTTAAAGGGCTGAGGATCAAACCTATGTCTTGTGCTGGGCAAGTATTCTGTCCCAGTTCAATAAGCGTTTCCTAAATTTCCGGGCGTAGTTTCATATAGGACAGATATTGGAAAGCACAACCCACACAAAGCTCTTTAGGATCTTCAAGAGCATTAAAGGGAACTGAAATGGCTGGGGTGAGAGATGGTGAGCATAGATATGATTGCTGCCAACTCCCATAAGCAGATAGACAGACAGACAGATAGATGTTTTAAAAAAAAAAGGAAACTGAGACCATTAAATACACTGTCATATTTTTTCCATACCACAACATTCTACAACTAGGAAAAACAAACTGAGTGATAAGATGGATGAACTCACGACAAGAACGCCTCATTTGCGGCTTCGAAGAACTCAGATGAGAGGACTTCCTGAGGTTCATGTCCATGGTAGGTAAGTAGAGCTCCCACCAGGGGTTCAAAATCAGGCAGAGTAACAAGAGGAACACAAACTTGTGACAGGGACATCATGCGCTCGGGAGCCATCCTATTGGAGGAAAGAGAAAAAAGCAAAGTCTCAGAGCAGAAAGCCACATGGAGTCTTCCTACTGCACAGGACAGTGACAGACCCGCTAGCGCCGGCGGCCAGGCCTTCTTCAGTCACTGCTATTCCCATGCCTGCTGCACATGAGTGAGTGAGTGAGTGTGTACATCTATCTGCAGACACAGCTGACAAACCAAGGCCCAAACAACTCCCCACGCCCTTCCACAGCTCCCCTGTGCAGACACTGGCCCTGCCTGACCCAGGAGTCAGTGCTGTCAACTCCCTAGCTGCTGAACCCCTGGCTCAGACCACCTCCACCTCCAGCCGCACATGAGCGTCTCCCCACTGCCACTGCTTATCAGCAAGAGAGGGTTCAGCAGCCCTCTCAACTGTGAGCAGTACAGATGGAGTTAATAACCTGATGACCTTTGCTGTCTGTAGAGCAGGCCCTACCACAGTGGTGTGGGAACCCTTGAGAAAGAGTAAGAACTAGCTATGCTGACTTGGGTGCTCCCTGCTGAAGGATGCACCCTATAACATGCCCTGCCTATGACGTCATTGGTCTGGCAGAGCTGGCGAGCCCTAGGATACTCTCTCATTTTTCTTCGCCTTAACGTGATTAAACTGCTACACACCACAGCACTGTGTTGATAGGCTGTGGTCAGAGAACTGCCACAAAGCAGCATTTGACACTCCTGTGACTCAAGGCAGATAGCAGTAGTCCACAGGAGGTTGCACAACAGGCTCTTACTCAGAAGGCAGAGCAGGAGACTTGGGGAGACACCCCTGCAAATGCCACGGGCAGCAGAGTAATGATCCAAATCTGATTCAACTGTGCGGTACCTGAGGGGCATGCAAGCCTTCTGAGATACAGAGGCCCTTCTCTGTTTTTCTCAGAGCTTTACTCTTCACACTGGAATGACTCCCTACACACAGTGTATGCTGAAGAAGCAGATGTTACACAAAATTCTAAACTGATAAAATCAAAAGTCCGAGCATGTCATCAGACCCTCACCCAGGTGTTTTCACACATGATCATAAATAAGAAATCTGGCCTCAGGTTTTAAGCACCAGTGTGCCACATACAGTTGTCATGTCCCTTTACGTGTGTGCCTAGTACTAACCATACGCATGCACTGGCAGGTAGGCAGATCATTCTCATGTTTCACCATCATGCACACAGTCAGAGCCCCGGTCACACACATATGTAAGTATTCACATACCACATTTCTTTCTCGGGGGCAGATGGCCTAATGGTTAAGAACACTTACTGCTCTTACAGAGTATAGTGTTTCTTGGCTGTCTCCAATCCAAGTTTAACAAAGTCAACTGAATGATTTGTCTGTCCCTATGAGTCAAAATTTTCAACTCCTTCTCCAATTAAATAACGTGTTCTTACATCGTGAGTCAAATTCCTAGAGGGAGGTGCAGGGTTTTAGCACTATAGATATGATCCACCACTGGCAATCACTCCAAATGCTAGCTCTTTTTTTATTGCTGTTTTGATAGGAGATGTCATAAAGCACTGTTGGCCAATAGGAAAGGAAGATAGGGACTAGGAGACAAGGAGCAAAGAGGAAGTAGTAAGGAGGGGTCAAGATGGAAGATGGAGAGAGCAGGATGCTAGCCGGACTCTCCAGTAAGATGAGACCACGTGGAAATACTTAGATTAACAGAAATGGGTTAAAAATTAAGACAGAGCTAGCCGATAAGAAATTAGTACCTGGCCAACAGCATTATATCAATACAGAGTCTCTGTGTGTTAATTGGGGCTGGCGCGGTGGCGGGACAAGACCAGCGGCAGGCGGAAAAACCTACTCCTTACACTGTTCATTTTTTATTAATTTACTTTTTACATTCCAACATGCTAACTCTCCTGACCACATCATGAGGGGCTTCTGGACACGTCAGCTGAACCAGTGCCCCTTTGTGCCAGGCTGCACTTTGTGACTGTTTTAGCACAGAGCAAGGTCCACTAAAGGACGAGGACACCCGTGATGACACTGGGTGGGTGAAATGGTAATCACTGTGGTTAGGAGTTTCCTGGCAGCAGCACGTCTGTGCCGCACAGGAATGGGACACAGTCTAAGGGATGCACGTGCTAGCCTGGCATCCCAGAACAGTGACCACCTCAAGCCTCCCTCATTTGCTCCACTGAGTTCTGCTTAGTATAGTCTTTCTTCTCCCCCCCCCAAAGAATTTTATAATTGAATAAGACACGATTTTCCCTGGGAACTTTGCAGAGTATGTTGAGCCAGTATGTAGCTTTCAAAGGAAATCCAACCTTTCTATGGAGTTCATTTAGCCTTATCAGAAGATTGACTGTAAAATGTAACTTGATACCTCACATGCTCTTTGAGTCTCTTTAAGAGCTTTTAAAGTCTTGTTTTTTTAATAGCTAAAAACCATGAAATTCTGTTCCCTGTCCATTAAAGATAAATAACTTAGTCCTTTAAAACCTCAGACAAGAGTCAAAAGTCATGTGTAGAGTGTATGTGCAGGTGTCTACCTTGTTTTCTGAGACAAGGTCTCTCACTGGGACCTGGGCTCACTGAATAGACAAGGCAGGCCAGCCAATGAGCCTCAGGGACCCATGTGTCTCCATCTCCCCAGGACTAGTACTATGTAGACCATGCTGGCCTTGAACTAAGAGATCATCCTGTCTCTGCCTTCCCAGTGCTGGGAATTAAAAGTGTGTGCACCACTGCTGACTTTAAAACTGTTAAGGAAACTGACCACGGACCCTTCCCAGCCTTGCGCGGAGACAAACTTCAGCCACTGAGACTCAGTGCTTGGTCAGCGTCTTCAGGGTCAGCTATCTTTCCTACCTACTCAGTCCCTCTCTCCTTTCAGAAAAGGAGATGATTCAAAACCTGCAGGTCTTTTAGGGAGGAGGATTTCATTATAGTTAGAGACTCTGGATGGCCAATGAACATCCCACTTGATTTCACACACATCCATGTGACTCTATGAAACATATGGCACTAGGGCTGTCTATAAAACATACACATTTCCAGCACCACACAAACACAACTGTCTCTTTCTTACACTGCTCCAGAGTCACAACTAAGATAATCCCAGCAGCTACACTAGTTCGCCATAGAGGGCAGGCAGTGATGGTACATGCCTTTAATACAAGCACTAGAGAGGAATTTAAACAGGAGGAGACAGAAGTCAGTCAGTCTGAAGATAGATCACCCCTTTTGGTCTGAGCCTTGGTAGAGTTAAGAACTCTCTAGTGGTTGGCTGCTTTAATTTGATTTTCAGTTTGAACCCCAATATCTGTATCTAGGTTTTTATTATTCATGCTACATTATATGTATGCTTCTACTCTTGTCTGAGGTATTGTGCTTATTTAACTCATTTCAAAATGCATTGTATAACTAAGAAATACAGATTAATAGTCACCTATAGGAGTCAATCTTACAGTCATGTTAGGTATGTTTTCAATGTCATACACAGATATCTTTAGATAGATAGATGACAGACAGACAGACAGACAGACGACAGACAGACAGATAGATAGATGGTGTTCACATACTTCAAAGACCTATAAAATTTGGCATTTAAGATATTTAATAACCTGAGGCTTTTCATGGCAGGAGACATGACTGCTCCTGACAGTACCCATCTACTTCAAAGAAGATGATGGGCATCAAAGAACCCCCATATGGAGTTTGCTTTCTTTATGACAAAGGCTAGCCACTGGGTAAGGAAACTGTCCTTGCCTCAATTGCTGGCAGTACACGCCGTCCAAACTGGACCAGCAGGACACACACACACACAAAAAGGCAACTGCCACACTTTGCCAAGATACGATAGGACAGCCCTTCATAAAATTCCCTACTCCTCAGGGGTGTCAGTCAGAGATACCAGACCTAAGGCCGGAGTTGGCTGCCCCAAATGTTACAGAGGAACCTAGAGTAATTGTAGCCAGATGGGTAGCCAGATGTCCCTGTCATTAGGTAACATTTCACCCTTCTGGGGTCTTTAATGGAGTTAAAGACTAAATAATTAAATTTGTACATTTTTTTTAGTTATGAAAAAAGCAACTTAGACTTAAAAATAAATTAGACTTACCAAGATAAGATAGATATTTTCTCCAACTTTGCCAAATACAAATGGACTAGATATTGTAACTGTAATTCTTACTTGATAACTGTTTTTGTTATAGTTTTACTATGTTAAAGTTAAAACCTTTTTAATCATACAAAAGGGGGGGGATGTTATGGAATATCTTTTTGCTAACTGTGAAGATGTGTCTTTGCCAAGGCACCTTCTGATTAGTTTAATAAAAGAGCGGATTGGCTGATAGTCAGGCAGGAAGTGTAGGCGGGACAACCAAACTAAGGACACTGGGAAGAAGGAGGGCGGAGTCAGAGGAGTTGCCAGCCAGACACGGAGGGGAGCAGTTGATGAACATGCCATGCTAACAAAGGTACTGCCGTGTGGCAGGGCGTAAATAAGAAATACGAGTTAACTTAGGTTGTAAGAGCTAGTTAGTAATAAGCCTGAGCTATTGGACAAGCACTTATAATCAATAAGTAATCTCTAAGTGGTTATTTGGGAAGCGGCTGGTGAGCAGAGCTGATTGTGGTCCTGATGAACAACTCCCCCTTGGTCCTGAGTCACATATGCACAGCAATTCCCTCTCTTACCCTGCCCAGGAAGCTCATAGCCTCTGAGGTTTTAGGACACTTGCAACTGGGAATGAGCAGCGTAGAAGATCAGCAGAAAGTACACTAATTAATTTAAATCATAAATCCCCGTGTTGGTGAGCTGGGGAAGGGCTGAGGGAGGGCGAGTCCACCGGAGAAAAGGCTGTGCACACCTAACCGACCACCTAGATGATCTCGACTGTAAAAACACAGATGACGCAGCACCACAGAACTTCATCAACAGAACAAGAAATACAAGTGGGGGTTCGTATGTCCCAAAAGGCTTTAGACGGTCACTAGGAAATGATGCTACCTTGGGTTTCTATTGCTGTATTAAACACCATC